ATGGACCATGTTAAGATTAGAACCCTCGACAGTGTGTGAGTATCATGGACCGAGATTCTAAACCAACATCTAAACAACGATCATTAGTTGAGGGTGAGTCTAAATTAAACTTAAGGAATTAACAATTGGTACATATTGTATAAGATATTAAATTGAGTGTCTTGATCGACAAATATGATCTTACAATAAGACAATAAACTTTCAATTGGGATGACCAAATTTACCTAATATTGAAGTACCTTTGTAAAAACATTCTAACTAAGTTGTCGTCATCTGAGCAACATCATTGGTTGAGAGTTTGTCCAAACTCGAGATTCATTGAATGACATATATTGTATAAGATAAATTTTTTTGAGTATCGTTGTTTTAATTTATAGACGCACCACATACTCACGCATTTGAGTATCGTGATATATCTTTGTGACATGATTTATGATCAGAGAATTGAAACATCATAAGTGAACGTGCTAAGCATTGAGGATTTTGAATTTACAGACGCACCGCATACTCACGCATGAATGCAAATGTAAAATGTGTAGAAGATCCAAAATAGTTTAAACATATAGATAAATTAATTAATTGATTAATATAAATGATAAAATGAAACTCACCGGCCAACGGGCCGGGTAAAAAGCTAGTTTTCTTTTATGCGAAATCAAAAAATTTCATGAAGCTCTAGCTAACTCAGCCAAATAACCGAGTAGCCTCTCAAACTCCACTGTACACATATAAGTGTACTCCTATTGCACTATGTAAAAGCTACAACTCAACTATAACACGACAAAAAAAATGTCCATATGTCAAGGGTTCTGTAGCAAGGGTTTCCTAACCCCCTACTATTTTTTGGGAATTATCGTAACATGGGTTTGTTCCAAGGGTTCGATAGCCTTTGCTACATATTGTGTTCTAAATCTCATCCCCCATCCCATTTCTCGATCTGTAAACTGAGAACCCATATTTCCTTTTTCTTTTCTTTTCGGCCCCTGCTCTGTTTATAATCTAGCGAGAAAACCATCATCGAGCTCTGCCGATTACCACATCTCCGTCGACATCTCCTGCTCGTCTTTTTATTTTATCGATCCCTAGTTCTCAATGCGACATTGTTTCTTCGAATCGTAAGCTCCATGGAGGTGACGAACTACGAAATTCACAACCGACGTCCCTTCCGATTGTTAGGGATTTCAAATTATCGGAGAGGAAAGCAGAGTGAGCAGAGACTGCTTTGATGTCGTACTTGTTGTTGCACTTGCACTCGGCATGGGCCGTCGACCAGGCCATCCACGTCGATTAGGATGAGACCTCCATGCAGGAAAATTAGTTAAAGAGGTAAATCAATTAGCTCGCTCTCTCTTTGCGCGATTACTGTTCAAGGTACGTACTCTGAATTCGTTTCCATTACTGTGGATTTCATTGGAGCTCGATTCTTGCCAATTTGCTTTAGTTCCAAAGCTCTCTGCCGATCAATCTCTATTTCAGAGGTAATCTTCCTATTTGGTTTGATGTGAGAATTATTAGTTCTGATTGTTTACATTGGGGTAAAGGAAATTCTGTGACGCTTGAGGATTCATGTTTTTTATCCGGAAGATGGATGTGTTTAGTGTCCGGGAGAATGAGGATTGAGTGTTCCCAATTGAGGTAGTCACTTAACCTGTAGACCTTTAGTTACTAAATAAATTGAAGGTCCTTGTTGTTTACTGTGTGGAGGTGGTAGATTACGGTCAAGTTTTCAGTTAGTAGCTTAAGGTTTTAGACAACAAATAGGTTATAGTGAATGATGTTGCTACCAACCTGGATCATGAGGCATGTAGATGATGAATCATGTCTGTGTCCAAAGTGTGAAAGTGACTTGCAGCTAAGGTTCAAACCCTTGATACAACCATTGGTTGGGACTTGCACCTAGAGCTGGTAAAACCCTTGCTAAGTGTATCAGGGGTGGCTTTGGCAAGGATTAAAACGCTTGGTATAGGTGAAAATAACCCTTGCCATATATCATTTTTTTTTATAGTGTAAGCTAAAAGCTATAAACACTAAGGGTTATTCGACTGGTCAAATTCTTGCTGGAAAGCAGGATCTGATTGAACACGAAATGATACTTCTTCTTCCACCTTCTTGGCTACCTGCAGGGGCTGTAAATCTGCTTGTTCCCATACAAATCTATGGATCTGTGATGAAATTGGTTCAATATATTTGAAAAAATAATTATTTGATTGCTAAATTTTATGATAGATTTTGGTGAATTAGATGCGTAAATATGAATTATAATTGACCTTATTGTCCTTATTTATAACAATTTTTCAATTAATTTTTTTATCAATTGCAACCAACACCATATATGAAAATTCAGCATATACTTAAACAACATAACCATTTACATTATCCAACACCATATTATGTTGTTGCAGGCCTGAGTAAACAAACTGGTTTTGGAGAAAAGACAATAATACTAAGATTTTCTTACTAGTAAACACATTGGAATCAGAAATCTTTCATAAATTTGAATTTTAGGGGTCGTTTGGAAGTTGCGAATGTTAAATCGTTGCATTGTAATGAATCACCATAATATAAATGCATGTATTGATACAATAGATGTATTTTAACAATACAATGTTTGGTTGTTGTGATTCTACTTTATGCATTGATATACATAAAGTTACTTTTATGGGGAAATGTCATATTTACCCTCAAATTTTAATATAAGACAAAAAATATTAGGGATATAAATGGAAAGAAAAAGTTGACACAAATCTAAAAGCAACAATCACAACAATCTCAACTTTTAGTTGAGATTGTATAATGCATCATTTTTTGTGATTGTTGGTGGGACCTACCTAAAACAATGCATGCATTGTTTTACATTTTTGCTCTTCCAAACATTGTATGGTGCACAATACATATATTCAACATCCAGAACTCTAACAATCACAACTTCCAAACGACCTCTTAAATGATTTATAAGAGTCTAAGATTCATCACAGATGCTTGCTAAGCTATTGTATCATCAGTCTCACTTATCCCACTTGAAATGAGCACATATAAGAACACAATGCACATATCATACTTGATTGCTTCCATAGTTTTCAATCCCACGACACATTGTATCCTACTATAAATAAGGTTGTCTTATTTTCTTCTAAGTACAACTTACACAATCACATAGAGGGTTAACAGTTTCTTAGCAAACCTTTAGCAGTGATACAAAAATTGAAGGTTAGCATACCAGCAACACTGAAACAGAACTACTACATACACCAAGTTCATGACTGGTTAAGGATCGAGTTCATGCCCTATTAACAATGACAAAAACAACATCCACATGCAAACAAATAGAGAACAAATTCAAGAATGTACTGACAAGAAGAAGGAAAAAAACAACAACATTGCATTACAAAACATATTATAAACACAAATCCATGAATATATCCTCTGATATGTTCTTACAAGGGGAAATAAGTACAGAATAGACGTTCTTTATAATAATCCTTACACAAAGATAATACAACATATATTCTTTCAAATTCAGTAGCCCTACAAATCAAATTAGCAAACATACATAAATAAGCAACAAGGTTAAAAAATTTCTAATAGCCTTCATAGTGTTCCACATCTGCATCTTATTTGAACTCTAAAAGCCCATGGGTCTCATAGATTTATCCTCATAACTCCATGAAGCAAACAAAGAGACTTTGATCAAAGTCCATCGCGTCAAAACATACCACGAAAATCACGCATAAGGAACAAGATGCAGGATTTACGTAGTTTTCCTGTTCGATATAAACATGACTACTCCACGAAGAGCTCACACTCTATACAATATTATTATCGCTATAATCCGATATTGGTTCTAATGACCCTACATACACATATATAGTCGAAACACATTGCTAATCCTAGCTCTACTACACCACTTGGTTAATTGCAAATAAGTACATGATAAGAATTTACAACCTCCCCTAAAACGATGAGCGGTGCGCACCATCAATTTGCCAAATAGAAACAAAAGTTGAGATGATGAGACTGCCTTAGTCAAGCGTCGACAATCTAATCTTCACACATAAGTAGTAGAGCTTAACACATCCGTCAACAACAAGATCCTCGATGTAATGCACACGCACCTCAATGTGTTTAGTACGATCATGCTGAACTGGACTCTTTGCGAACTGAACAACGGTGGTATTGTCTCCAAAAAGGCTCATAGGGTAAAGTAACAAGAGCCTCAATCTCTTTAAGCAGGCGCCAAAGCCAAACAAGTTCAAAACTAATTCGGGCATGGAATGATACTCAACCTCAGTAGAGGATTTTGATACCTTCTCCTACTTTCCACAACACCAAGAAATAATAGCACCATATTGAACACACCACCCTCGACATTGAATGTTAGGTATCCACACATCCAATAAAATTAACATCGACATAAGAACACAAAATAACGAAGAATACGATGTACATTGTGGAGTTGATATGTCCGAGAAGCAGACATGTACTGACTCACAATCTGAATAGCATAAGCAAGATTCGGACGAGTATGAAGAAGATTAAAAAAACAGGATTTTTCCAGAAATAGCACATTTTAAAAAAAATTACAAAAATAGCACCCAGCCGAAAAAATTACACTAATAGCACCCTTTTTTATGGACCGCACCTTAGAGGTGCGTTTTATATATAAACCGCACCCTCAGGGTGCGTTTTATACATAAACCGCACCTCTAAGGTGCGGTTCATAATTCTGAACCGAAACCGCATCTTGGACAAGCGGTTTCAGGTCTGACCTACAGAAACCGCGTGGCCAAGGTGCGGTTTTGGCCTGACCTAGAAAAACCGCACTTTGGAGATGCGGTTTGTTTCTCCAAAACAAAATCGCATCCCCAAGGTGCGGTTTTGGCTTACAAACCGCACCCCCAAGGTGCGGTATTGGTCAATTAATTTCCGACATGCCATGCAGAATAACAGACGTGGGTCTCTATATTTTGCCTATAAAAGACTTCCCGGAAAACCACTTCTCTTCACACCTCTCCTTCTCCCTTTTCAATTTTCTATTGTATCTTTATATTTTTTTAGTAGTTTTGCGATTAACGTTAACTCGTAAGTTTATTTTGTATTACTTTTTATTGTTATTTTTTTATTTTTGATTTTTATGATATTAACTGAACTACGATTTTATTGCAGATGGCATTCCAAAAGTTCACGCTTGGCTTACGGTGGAATGGTTACATGGAAGAGACCGGAAAAGGGGTCACCTACGTCGGTGGCAATTTTCAGAAGATAAAGGTTGCTACCAGACCGCTGCTTGAAGACCTCCATCAAATGTGCACTAACTTTACTTGCATGGATGACACGAGAAGAGTTGATCGTATGGTGTACCGATATCCAAACAGAGAAAGTGGGTCATTGTGGCATGAGGAATATCTCATAACCACTCAGGATGAGGTAGATGCAATACTCGAATTCATGAGGTCCAATAATCTTTCCAAAGCCGAGATGTTCGTTTACACCGAGCCGGTCGTAGGCGTTGGAGGTCATTCTGGACACGGTCAAACATCTGGTTTCCATGGTGGAGGTGAATTATATGGCGATCATCCCTACACGGTCAACACTCGTTAGACTCTTAGAAGAGGTATACATCTTCTTAGAAACGAAGTCTTTTTGACAGAAAAAGGGGGGATCCGAGGATCTCTTAATACCCGATTTTCCTAGGGAATGGGAGGATATGATAATCGCTTAACACCCCATTTCCTTAGACGTGCATCTCTTTATAAAAAGTCGAAGTAAATGGCGCTATGTATTCGATTAAATTATTGAAAACAACAAACATGATTAAAAATTCAACATAAATTTATTTTATATTCCACTAAATACATTAACAAAATAAAAGAAGGAAAAATGGTGAAGAATTGTATGTACCGGGTGATTGTTCCAAACATCCCTTGACCGATGGTTGGGTTGGTCGTACAAGTCGGTTGGATCCAATGGTCCTTCCTCGAGATAATAACGTTGGTTGTATATATCCACGTTCTCCCCAACCTACGAGAAAATAACAACGAGGTTAGTACATAGATTAATTAAAAATCTAATAACAACAACAAAAATTAAACCAGAATAATGAGTAAGTACCGCTTGAAATTCATCAACATAAACTCCCTCTCCTTGCCACCAATCGGCCATTTTTTCGGGAAATTCGGACAGAGATTCGGCTCGGCGGGTGTTTTCTGATGGCAGATCGGACTTAGCCGCAACCAACAGACCACTATTTCCTAGGCTTTTGGGAGGGGAGGGGAGGGTTTAGAGAGATAATTCTAGAGAGAGAGAGTGGAGAATGGTTGTGGTGTGAAGAATTGAGAGGGGGGAGGGGGTAATTATACCCATCAGAACGCACCCCCCAGGGGCGGTCGGGTAATTTTGCCCCACACAAAACCGCTGCTTGCCGAGGCGGTTTGCGAGTCACGACGCCTTGCAGCTGCGGTCCTCGATCCTTGGCGCGGATCGCTCTGCTGGAGCGCGGTCCGTCGTCCGATCGCTCCTCCATCCAACGGTCTGAAGACCATTCCGCAGAGAAGGCACACCGCACCTTCCTAGTGCGGTTCGCTTGCTGACGTGTCGTGGAACGCACCCCTAAGGTGCGGTTTATATGTAAAACGCACATACATGTGCGTTTTACTTATAAACCGTACCTTAGGGGTGCGTTCCATTAAAAAGAGTGCTATTTATGTCAATTTTTTTTCGTCTGAGTGCTAGTTTTGTAAATTTTTTTAAACGTGCTATTATTGGAAAAATCCCTTCAAAAAACTCCCCACAACCTGACGATTATGGTTTCCATTAGGAAGATGGTCACCAGCATCACAACTTAACTTCACATTATGCTCCATATGAGTCGATAGGGAGTACAGTTTTCAAACTGATCTTGATCCAACAAATCCATAACATACTTACGTTGATTCAAAAAAAGACCATGAGATTTCCATTGAACTTCAAGCCCGAGAAAATAGGATAAAGCATCGAGGTCCTTGATATTAAAAGATGATCTAATGGATGTGGTGAGCTCTTCGATACCCTCAAGATCATTGCCAATAACGATCATGTCATCGATGTAGATAACTAACAAAATAATGCCATGAATAGCGTCTAAAGAAGAGAGACCAATCACAAGATCTCTGCATGAACCCAACCTGCCAAACAGCTTGATGAAACTGTTTGGGACAAAAAGTTTGACTTAGCAAATCTAATATTTTAGGTCAACATTTTTGAAATATATGCTATTGTATTTCCATGTTGGACTAACAATTTATGCAGGGAAGGATCAAAAGATGTAAATCAATGTAAAGGTGAAAGAATCTATTTAGAAAAAGGAAAGTATTCAAAGAAGTGAAAACTTCTATCGTAGTTGGAACAAAGTTCGTCATAGCAAATTAATCGTTTCAAGAGAGATTCTTGGCAAACTATTTTGGGTTGCTAAATTAAGCTAGTGCTAATCTCTCACTATTGAAATCTGAATTAATTTGTGCATTGACCATGTCCAAAGTATTCATTACCGACTCTGCTTGGTCTAACAAGTGGTATCAGAGCCCGGTTCCCTCAAAAAGATCGAAAGATCCGCGAGGAAACTATTATCCAATATACCAAGCATGGCTAGTGTGTCATCTATCAATCATGGTTCCAACTCTACTCATATGGAGGGTCTTTCATATAGTAGACCACTATGGTTTGATGGATACAACTATTCCTTTTGGAAAACACGTATGATTGCTTTATTTAAGGGATGGATTTTGACGTTTGGAATGTGGTTGATAAAGGTGTGGGTGATATTAAAGATGATCCTAATACTTGGTCGAAGGATGATCTAAAGAAGATGGAATTAGATGCTAAGGCAACTAATGTTTTATATTTTGCAATATGTCCAGACGAGTCCAATAAGGTGAATCGATGCAAGACAGCTCATCAGATTTGGAAACCTTAGAGGTATCACACGAAGGAACAACCGAGGTAAAGGAATCAAGAATCTATCAATTGGTGCATGAATACCAGATGTTCAAGATGCATCCAAGTGAGTCTATCTCATATATGTATGTAAGGTTCAATTTAATAGTAAGTAGACTCAATGCCTTAGGAAAAACCTATGACAATGCAGAGTTAATTAGAAAAGTTCTTTGGTGCTTACCTAAAGAATGGATGCCTAAGAAAAATGCTATAGAAGAAGCAAAGACATTATCTACTCTTAGCATAGAAAATCTAATAGGATCTTTAATTAGTCATGAAATTTCCCTAAAAGCTCAACATGATGAGGAAAATAATAAGAAAAATAAAAGCTTGGCATTTAAAGCTTCTGAGAAAAGCATATCGAGTGACAAAAGATTATGTGATAATTCTTATCAAGGATTTGCTCTCATATCTAAGAATTTTAAAAGGTTTTTAGAATTTGAAAGAAAACAAGGAAGATGGAGTTCATTTTACCATCGTGACAACAATAAAAATAAAGATAGAAAGGTAAGATCTTTCAATAATCATTAGAATAGTAAGCTTAAAAATGATTGTGATTTCGAAGATCAAGAGTCACCAAAATGCTATAAGTGTGGCAAAAGTGGTTATATAAGGGCCGAGTGCCCCAACTATGCAAAGAGTAGGGAAAAGGCTTATGCAGTAGCTTGGAGCGGATCCGAGGCCGAAAGTGAAGGTGATGTATATGAAGTTCAAGGCTACATGGCTTTTGCTAACAAGGAAGACGAATCATCATCATCAAGATCAAATAGAGACGAGGTATGTTCTTTTCCTCGTACTTATGACAGTGATTCAGACTTTCGTAGTGGTATGATTGAAGCTTACGAAGAAATGCGAGATCACTACGAAAAGTTAAAGAATAGGTATTAAAAAGTAAAAGAGGATTTAAAATTAAGTAAAAATGAGATTAAAGAGCTAAATGATGATATTTTAGTATTAAGAGAGGAAAATCAAGCCCTAAGTAAACAAAACAGTAAATCTAAGAATAGCAAAATTCTTGAAGAGTTAGAAGAACTAAGGATCAGAAATGATGATCTAGAAACAAAGACAATAGATTATAGAACTAAGTTCATATAAGCTAATTCCAAATTAGAACGATTAGAAAAGGAAGGCAACTATATGAACGACGTTCAAAAGTCTTCAGTCAAACAACTACTTGCCTTAAATGTAATAAAGAAGCACATCATAAAAAGGATGATAAAACAAGTGTTAAGTGCACGAATTGTAATAGGAAGGGCCATCATAGTAAAGAGTGCAAAAAAAAATTTAAGATGTAGTAAGTCTACTAGAAGAGGACATACAAAACAAAAATGTTACTCAAGGATTATATGTTATTGTTGTCATAAAAAGGGCATATCAGTAGAAATTGTTATTACAATAATTTTTATGACTCCTCTTACTCATACATTGCGTAAAAGGTACCCAAGCAAGCATGGGTACCAAAACCAAACCTCTAAATGTTTTACATGTGACTATGAGAGAAATGATCAATTGAATGGTATCTAGATAGTGGATGCTCTCATCATATAATGAAATAGAAACAATGGTCTCTTTTGAAAGTTCTTAAAAAAAGGCCCTTGAAGGTCGAGAAAACTATAAATGTTGCCTTTTTAATGAAACTAACAATTTCACTACAGGTGTCAATCGGGAAGGTTCGGGTGGGTTCGGGTGGGTTCGGGTCGGGTTCAATTGGGTTGTGGGTTCGTCGGGTTGCGGGTTCATTGGTTTGGGTTCAATCGGGTTGCGGGCAAATCGGGTTGTAGGTTCATCGGGTTTCGGGTCGGGCGGGTTGCGAGGGGATCGGGTTGCCAGTTGTTCGGGACAGTGTATCGAGTTACTTACTCCTTACTCGCTGCCAACTTACACATTTTATTACACTAATTTAAAAGATTTTTTACAATTTTTAACCATGTTATTTCTACCTCATATATATACTTAATTTTAAAAAAAAAACTAGTCAAAATGTTGAATCAATTAGTATGATTTGCAAACTTGTCATGTAATTAGTCATAATTAGTAAAGTGCAGTAGCTAATAGTAATTGTGATATCAACATTTGCAACTAATAGACACTACTAGCAAACCAAAGAAAGCACCACTCTAAAAACAAATAAGAAAAACACTTTTTCTTATCTCAACATTTTGGGCGGTAATATAGATTAATCCAAACAAAAATTGGGCGGCAATATAGGTCAATCCAAACGAAAATTGGGCGGCCTTTTGAAGTGGGAATGAAGAAGTTGGGCGGCAATGTATATCTAGCAAAAAGAAAATTGGACGGCAATGCAACGAGAAGCAAAATTGAGTAACAAAAAAATACGTGAATTATATATATAATAAAATACAAGGTTAATTCTCAGTGAAGTATAAAATTTTTGTTTAACAAAAGAATATATGAATCATCGTTCTTGGAAATTTTTCGCAAGTCTTTGTCAATCAATATTCCTAATTTATATCCATATGCAAAATCTAGACAAGGCACTTATATTATAAATAACAGTTTATGGGAGATGGAAATCAAGCTTAATAATAAAGGAATTGAAATATTAGTGGGTCGAATTGGGGGGATTTCCCTCATTAGATTTTCATTTTGGTAGGAACAAATTGTAGAAGGAAAACAAAGTGAGAAGAACGAAAAGTGGGGAGGAAAACATTGGAGAATTGAAAAGTTGGGATGAAGATATCAAAATGAGAGGGGGAAGTTTTCCACCTAAATGAAAATGTGGTGGGAGAATTAGTGAGTAAGAATAAGTTTCCAACCTAAATGTCAAATAATATGCATTTGAGATATGATAA